CTGGGTTAGGGCTCGGGAGGAAACTAGGCGGCCACGTCTGTGACGACGACGTGGTCGGCGGGATGGTGGCTGGTGGAACCGGCGATGCCGGTCACGTGTTGGGAACTGTGAATTCTTGTGGGGGATGGGGCTTTCAAATGAAAATTTGACAAGTCTGGAGGACTTATATGCAATTTCATAACTTCTAATAAATTGTAATTGAGTACTTGGGCAAATGTGTAATTTAATACATTCATCATAATAATAAATGAAATGTCTAATAATGTGCAACCTAACACACGTTAATGTGCAATACATCTAACAATATTGTGCAGTGTATCGGTCCTATTTTGTGCAGTATGAACTGATCCATCTTATGTCTCAAACTAATTTAAAACCGACCAGAATTAATTAATTAATTTGATCGGTTAATCAAATCAACTATAATAAGTGGATTAAAATATTATTTATATTATAAAATCATATTTAGTATTATAAAATCATATTTAGTATTTTTATATTTTTATCTAACATTTTACATATTTTTTTTGTTGGTTAAAAAGTATAACAATATAATATTTTATATAGGTTACTCGATTGGATTATCTCGATTATTTTAAAAAATTTGCTTACATCGTACTAAAATAACTAAAATTTAAATGACAAACAAAGATTAGTCGAACCGCCTTATAAAATTCAAATTAAAACTTAGGTCGATTGACTTTGGTCAGTATAGTGCAATCATGCAGTTACTAATGTGCATCCCGTTTAACACTAATGTGCATTCGTAATACAATTATTTTTTAATGATTTGTCCCAAATCAAATAAAAATCGAAATAGATTATCTATTTGATCGGTTAACCGAATTAATATAAATAAACAAAATAATTTATAATTATATTAAAAAAATACGTGTAGTAGTTTAATATTTTATTTGATATTTTATACCACTTTTGGTTGTAAATTCCTAAATTATATAAAAACAAAATAATAATTTATTATTTATTTCGATTGGTTCAGTTATTTTTAAAGATAAAGGTAATATCAAATTGAAATAATTAAAATTTTAAAAGTAAAAGCAGATAATCAATATAAATATAAAATTCGGACCCAAAATCTTAGTTCGTCGGTTTCGATCGCTATAGTGCAATCTGACAGTTATTATTGTGCAATCTGTCCATTACTAAAGTGCACTAATACTGTCATGTTTTTAACAATTTTTATTT